TTAAAAGTAAACAAAAGAAAAAGGTAGCCTGATGTCATGGTATGTACCTGTATTCCTACCACTTGAGAGCCTGAGGCAAGAAGACCAAAAATTTGAGGCCAGCTTAAGCTATACAACAAGACCCTTTTCCCAAAAAGGGGGTGGGGTGCATAGTGGTTCTGCAAACCTTTAACCCCAGCCCTTGGGAATCAGAAGCAGGTGGATCTCTGCGAATTTAAGGCCAGCCTGTTCTACAGAGTGAGTTCCAGACCAGCAGGGCTACACAGAGAAACTCTGTCTTAAAGAACAACTCTTTCTTTTTGGTTGTTGCTATGTCACTCAGATTGAGGAAGATCCAGAAACTTCATGGCTATGACTGTATCAATCAGCATTAGAAGCATCCAGGAGGCCAGGGTACTATTGATAGTATGCATCAACATGGACAGGTACCATCCAGGTCACTTTAGGGGAGTTGGTGTGAGGAATTACCACTTAAAGAAGAATCAGAGCTTCTGTCAACCTGGATAAATTGTGGACATTGGTCCATGAGCATTGGTCAATGAGTTGGTGATGGCTGCTAAAACCAAGACTGGAGCTACCGCAGTCACTGACCTAATATGACCCTGATAGCACAAAGTGCTGGGGAAGAGAAAGTTCCTAAGCAGCCTGTCTGTCAAGAAAGCCAAATGCTTCAGAGAACGACCTGAGGAGACTAAGGGTACTGGGAGGCTTCTGTGTCCTCAGAGCTGGAATCCACATAGGGAGCTTGATTAAATGTCAACATTCTTTAAAACAAACCCTGCATAGGGGCCAGTGACATGGCTCAGCACTCAACACCAAGCATAGTGACCTGAGATCAGTTCACATGGTGACCACAGGGTGAAGGAATGTGGACTCCTGAAGTTGTTCCTTGTCCTTTCTCTTCCCATGTGTGCCATGTGTTGCACATACATGTGGAGATATATATGTGTGTGTATATGCATGTATATGCATATACATACACATATATACATATACATACACACAAAATTTTAATTAAAAAAATCTGAATAGGTTAAAGTAAGTGGATGAAAATGGTCTTCCCCACAAACTATATATTTGAAAGAGGCTTAACCACTCATAATAAAGTAAAAAAATAAGACAGAAGATTACTAGGAATAAAGGGGTATTTTATACTGTTAGAGCTCTGCAGCGGTTACTTAGGAAGTTACAATGCTACATGTATGAGAACTAATAATTTAAAATATAATTTTTAAACTAATAATTTAAAATATATAAGGGGAAAACTGAAAAGGAAAGAAATCTGCAGTTGGATATTTTGACAGTTCCTCTCAATAAAGCTGGAACAACATAAGTCAGTAAAGATTCAGATAATCTGAACAATACTGCCAGTTATCCTGAGTAACTGACTTGAAACAGAGTCTTCAGTGGCAGCATATGAAACAAGCACACTGACTTTCCCTCACATGTTCTGGAAAATAAGTCCCGTCAATATCAGAAGGTTGAAGCCATGAAAAGAATGTTCTTAGCTGGGAGTGGTAGCTCATGCCTGCATTCTCAGTACTCAGAAGGCCTCTGGGCTACACAGTGAGGCCCTGTCCCTGGAGTGAACAAAATAAAACCAACATGAAGTTTCAACTGGGGAATGCAGAAAAAGAAACATGTGGGCTCAGGATGTCAGTTGGTGGACTGCTTGCCCAGCATTCATGAAGCCCTGGCTGTGATCTCCAGTTCCAGTCACAGTCCTAGTGCTCAGGGCATGAGGCAGGAGAATCCTAAATTCAAGGCCAGTGTAACTACATGTAGAGACTCTGTCTCAACAACAAACAGAAATAGAGAGAGGGGGAAATATTCAGTACTAAAGAGAAAGAAGCTATATTAATAGAGTCTGAAAGACTAGCCATTACATTATAGATAACAGAGCCAAGCCAATAGATTTAACAATTTAGAGGAAAGGGACAAATCTTCAAATCTCTTAAACTGTAAAATGGTACAAGGCTGGGCTAGAGGGATGGTTCAGCAATTAAGAGCACTGGCTGTTCTTCCAGAGGACCCTCGTTCAATTCCCAGCACCCGTGTGGCAAATCAAAGTTGTTTGTAACTCCAGTTCCAAGAGATCCAGTGCCCTCTTCTGGTCTCCATAGGTACTGTGTACACACGGAACACGGATAGACATGCTGGAAAACAGCCATATACATAAAATTAAAAAACTTAAATGACACAAAGTAAAGTAGAAAACCTGAACAGACTCCTATCAGTTATAGAAGCTATCAAGTACTCAAAGAAGAAATATGAATATTTTACAAACCCTTATAAAATAAGCAAAGGTGGAGCATAGCTCAGTGGTAAAGTGCTCGCCTGCCATGCTTGAGGCTGCCTGGACTCAGTCAGCAGCAGGTGGGAAATTTCCCACCAAGTATGCTAGCGTCATTCTGTAGTCAAAGCCAGACAGCACCACAAGAAAGAAGATTGAAGACCAGTGTTCTTCCTGAAAGTAAATTACAATTTTTTAACATTGTAAATATTAACACATTAAATATTTTAAATTGCATTGGACATAGTGTAGCACATTCTTGTAACACCCACACTGGAGAGGCTGAGGCAGGAGCGTCATGAGGACAGCCTGATTTTTGTAGCAAGTCCCTGTCTTAACCAATCAAAAACAAAACCACAAAGTCCCAAAAAACTGAGCCTAAAAGGCATAGTTTACCCTGGGAATACGAGACTGATACATTCACAATATCACAGGACTATAAGGGTGAAGTATAATAATTCACCATATTAGAATGAGCATATGCCTGTAAGTTCCAGCATATGCCTGTAAAGGCAAGATCAGAAATTCAGAGTCAGTCTCGGCTACACAGTGAGTTTAGAGATAGCCTGGGTTATGCACATGAAAGTTCATCCTGGTATCTGCTCAACAACCCAAAGAGAGAGGGTCCTCCAGTCTGATAAAGACACATAAAACCTTTTCATCTCAGTAAAACCAGAACTACTTCCCCCCTAAGATTGGAAAAGTTCTCTCTGGTTCTGTCTTCTGGAGATCTCATTGAGTACACTAAGATAAGAAGCGATATAAAAGGCAGAGAGATGAGAAACACAGTAAAACTGTCTGTCCACAGATTATGTGGCTGTTTTCATAGAACCCCCCTTCCAAAATCAAAACAAAAAACAAAAAATGATCGTAATGGCAAAAGCCTATAATCCAAACACTTGAGAAGCTGAGGTAGGAGGATAAAGACTTAGCGAGGCTACACAGTTAGACCCTGTCTCAGTCCCCTGAGTCAAAAGAAAAAATGTGGGTGTAGGAGAAATTTATAGAGCTACTTACTAAGTAAACTCAGTGGATAAAAAAATCAAGGTATTATTAAAATATTGCTGTGTTTTAGTTGGAAGTAAAAAAATTTAAATTTCACTTATTGAGGCTGGAGATGTAGCTTAGTTGGTAGAGTGCTTGCTTACATTATAAGGCCCAGGTTTAGTTCCCAGAACGGTATACAACTGAGTGTGGAGGCGCACACGTGTTATCCCAGCACTCGGGACGTGGAGAGATGAAGAAGCAGGAGGGTGAAAAGTTCGGTCATCCTTAGATACACAGCAGGGTTAAGGCCAGCCTCAGCAACGTAGTGAGCCCCGGCTTCAAAAAATAGAACAAGGGCTAGAGAGATGATTCAGCGGGTAAAAGCGCTAGCTGCTCTTCCAGAGGACCTGGTCTCAATTCCCAGTACCCACATGGCAGCTCCCAATTGTCTGTAACTCCTGTTCCAAGGGATCCTATATCCATACACAAACATACATTCATGTAGTCGAAATACTAATGTACCTAAAATAAAAAAAAATAACCAACAAGCTAGGGGGTAGCTCAGCAGTACAGACCTTGCCTAGCATATCCAAGGCTTCTAGTTCACTCCCCAGCACTGAAAAAAAAAAAAAAAAGCTGCAAAGGAATGAACATAGTAATTTCATTGCATAAACCATTGCATGGCCCGTGGTTATAGAAATCAAAGCAGTTGTTGGCTAAGGGATATTGAAATGATCTGGAAGAAAGATAAGGGAATTTCTGGAATCATGGGAATGTTCTATGTCCTCACTGGGGGTATTTGTTACCGTAGTAAATGAGTTGCATGAGAATATACATTTGTCAAAACCCATTACACTGAAATTTCATTGTACGTAACTTTTGTTCCTCAAAAAAAGTAATGAAAAGGCTTATATGTTTAAAATAGAAATGATTATTTCTGTGGTCACCGCCATACCTGTAGCATACTATTTCATATATGGTATATTGACTATAGAAGTTTTATATATATATATATATATATATATATATAGAGAGAGAGAGAGAGAGAGAGAGAGTACATATTTATATGAGAGACTTGAAGATTCATGTTTTTTTTTTCAGCAAATGTTGTTCATATACTATGGGTCCCCTACTATAATAGTTATTAGGGACATAAAAATAAAGAAAAGCAAGTGTCTGGGTCTATAGGAGCCATAAAGGCAGAAGAGATAGATGTCTAGAGTGGGAACCAGTGCTACGAGGCAAGTGGACATGGTTCTCATCTGCTGGAGTTGGAGAAGGGACCATAAACTTCTGCAAGAGGAAGAAGGACTTTGGGGTCAAGGGAACTCACTAAGTTACGCAGAGAAGCATGTGTCTGCATGATGTGTTTGAGGGTCATAAGCAGCCGGCTGTGGCAGCAGTGATGGGGTGATGTAGTGATGGGGGCCGTGTACTATAATGATGGAACTAGAGACAATAGTCTCTATAGTCAATAGGGACTACCGAAGGCTTTTTGAGAGGAGTGACGTCAATTCTGTTTCAGCATTTTAGAAGAGAATATCTGTCAATAGTTTAAAAAAAAAAAAAAGGACTCAGATTGGGGAGATTATAGGCAGAACTAAGTTAGAAAGGGGTTATAAAATAAAACAGTAGCTGTTTTTAATATTTACCCATTAGAACATTATGATTACATTTTTATATCTGTCTATTCCTTTTCTTCCTTTAAAATTAACACTAGGCAACCAGACACCTTTTGGACTACTACAGGCATGTTTCCCCAGGAGTTTATTATTTGTTTTCACAAAAATGTGAAGATTGAAAAGCTTGTGATCCAGAGTTACTTGGGTAAGCAAATCACACATTAATTTTTATTATCCTTTAACTTTCCATTAGAGGATAAGCAGAAGATACATGTAAACGTTTGGCAAAAAACTGATTTCTCTTTATAGCATGGGACCCAGTTTTATTGCTGAAATGGGAGGGTAGAGAGTCTGGGCTAACTGCCTTCAGCATGATTACCCTCTTGACTTGCAAATGTGAAACCCTTCCAGAGCACATCATAATTTCCATTGCGTTTACTGTGTGAAAGTCTTCGGCAGAAGATTCTACAAAGAATGTCAGAGGCTGGCTTGCCAGAATGCTAGGTTCTATGACATCTCCATCCTAGGTCCACGTAGCCTGTAGTTCTCAGATACTTGCCGTAAATCTGAGAAGCCCAATTATTCCCATTGGATAGTTTTGATTCTTCTATTGCTAATGACATTTTCTGGGGATTAGGAGTGGAATCTCCCTTTGGAACATCCAGTTCTGTCTGTGATAAAGTGTCTCAGACAGAATCATGGCAGGAAACAGAATAGATCACAGATGTTTCAAATGAGAAGACTTAATTAATAGATCTACTTATAAAAGTCAGGCCTGGACTGGAGGAATGAATAAGGGTACGGGAGTTCTCAGAAACTAGCTGCATCAGAGAGCCACTGCTACCCGGAGACAAGGAAAGGAAAGTTTTACCAGAGCCCAGGGAAATTTGGGGAATGTACGGGGGCCTGGCCAGCAGCAGCTATGGTCTTGAAGGGAAAGTGCCACCACAGACATGGTAGAAAGACAGAGTGTAGATAAAATATCCTGGTCTCACTTTTGCTCTGCCCTCCAATCTTCCGGCACCTGCCACTGGCCAGCCCCAAAGAGAAGCTAGTTGGTAAGTTAGTCTAGGGGATGTAATTCGTAGGATAGGACAGAGAAGGGAAGGCTGATTCTGGGGACAGTGGAGAACCTGTGCAGGGGGAAGATAAGTGCATGCATGGTATGTTTCTGTCCTGAGTTATGGTGGCACTAGAGTCACACAGGCCTCATGTGTGAACTCTTGTTCTGGCATTTACTAGCTCTAGGTCATTGGACACCTTGCCTGAACTTCTATAAAGTGGGCTAATAATACCTTTCTCATAAAGACTTCAGCCAAGAGAGAATGAACAAATATGTCTGACTCAAAGCATGTTCTCCATAAAGGCTTATGACCATGACTACCTGTAGTATCACAGCCAGTGTGTAAATAGTCCAGATGACACCAGATTCAGAAAAGCACTGCTAGATTTGTGCTCTGTCGTGGTGAGCACTGGCAAGCCTGCCATTATACAGTGTTTCCTGTTACTATAAGGATTTATGGAAAATCAGGTATAGCTTCCAGGGTGTGTTATTCCTGGTCCCAGCACTTTGTGTGGCACCCATCAATCTACGGCAGCCAAGGGCATCAGAGGAAAGAAGTGCGGGAACAACAGAGAATCAAGTAGACAATTAACGCTTTTATTTATTTTGCTTATTTATAATGCCAGTTCGGACCTTGAGGATTGAGAAGACCACCTCTAAAGAGCCATCCGATTTTGAGCAGTGGGTGGAAACAGGTGTGTAAGTGTGACACTATTCCTGTTCTAAGCGTGAGAGAGTAGATGCCTGGCCTCTGACTCTGTGCTAGCAAGCCAACTGCATTTTGATAAATAACAGGTGATTTTGATGATTCTTTAACACAGACAAAGCCTAGAAAAACACATTGCTGTACAGCTTTCTTCACGTACTGTTTATGTAACATTTTCAAAATTTTAGGATCCTGATCAAAAATAGAGCTGACACATTTAAGGCTTTTGTGAGCTTACATGTGACAAGCAAACTAATATTAGTTCCATACTTTTCCTTCCTGATTAATGACAGTGTTTTAAGTATCATCTGACCTGTGTATGGTGGCACATGTCCTTAGTTCCAGGATTCAAAAGGCAGAGGCAGGGGGAATCTCTGCATTTGAGGCCATCTGATCTGCATGGATCATTCTAGGCCAGTTAGTGCCACATAATGAGTCTCTTTAAAAAAAAAATGAAAACATAAGGGGCTGGAGAGATGGCTCAGAGGTTAAGAGCACTGGTTGCTCTTCCAGAGGTCCTGAGTTCAATTCCCGGCAACCACATGATGGCTCACAACCATCTACAATGAGATTTGGTACCCTCTTCTGGCTTGCATGCATACATTCAGGCAGAATACTGTATACATAATAAATAAATAAATCTTTAAAAAAAATGAAAACATAAAAGTTTTTTTTATAAATGTCATCAACTAAATTGCTATCCTCCATTTTAGCACAAACACATAAAAAAAGGCTGGGATACAAAGTGAATAAACTGTAACTAATAAAACTGTAATTAATAAAAAATAAATAAATTTAAAAAATAAAAAGGCATAAAACCATGAGGAGAAAAGAAAACATATACCTAGTGAATCAGGCAAATGTAGATCAATAGATATTATGATATAGAGGAACAGCCCAAACTTCTAGAACACAGCAGATGAGGATGTAACCTAGAGCCTTGCAAGGAAAATAAAAAGAAGTAAACTAATTTATTACATGGAACCCCAGATAGGCCTAGAATCTGAGAGCGGCAGGTGATGTGCAAAGTATGATGAGATATGCATGACTAGTTCATAATTGATTTATCTTAGTAGCATAGTATTTGTGTATAGCAGGAAGTAGGCATTGATTTAAGAAACCTAGATTTCCACTTACCATGACATAAACTTAAATTACAAAAACATAAGAAAGAGAATATAACCATATTAATTCGAGGAAAAACAACCTAAATTTAAATTTTAATGTGTAAGGATGTTTTGTCTGCATGTATGTCTATGCACCACATCCATGCCTGGTGCCCACAGAGACCAGAAAGTAGGCATCAGATCCCCTGAAGCTTCTTTCTGGGTTTGGGGAACTGAGCCCAGGTCCACTAGCAAAACAGTCAGTGCTCTTAACCACTGAGTCATCTCTGCAGCCCCCACCCTCTGCCCAACCCTTGCCACCACTTTTTATGCAGGTTTTTATTGTGTATGTAGCCTAGGTTGGTCTGGAGCTTAAAATAAATCCTTCTGCCTCAGTCTCTTGATAGCTGGGATTTGGGGTGTGTACCACCACCATCCCAGGCTAGAAGTGGAAAACATTTACTGCTAGGAAGCATGACTAAAGGAGAAGGCACAGGAAAGCAGGGGATAATAGTTTTTATTTTCTAAGGAAAGTGTTAGGAAGCAGAGAAAAAGACTCTAGAATCTTACTTCCCAAAGACTTCCCCTTTGGTGCTGGGTAGCTTTTGAAATTCTGTATGTTATTTGATATAAATTAATATCAAAAGGCATTTGATTGGGCAGAGTGCAGGGAATCTTATGAAAGAAGGGGGAGATAGAAACACCTGGAGGGGACAGGAGCTCCACAAGGAGAGCAATAGAACCAAAAAAATCTGGACACAGGTATTTTCTGAGAATGATACTACCACCAAGGACCATTCATGGAGATAACCTAGACCCCTGCACACATGTAGCCCATGGCAGCTCACCTTCCAAGTGGGTTCCTTAGTAATGGGAACAGGGACTGTCTCTGACATGAACTCAATGGCCTTCTCTTTGAGCACCCCCCCCCAAGGGGGAGAACAACCTTACCAGGCCACAGAGAAAGACAATGCAGCCACTCTTGATGAAATCTGATAAGACTAGAATCAGATGGAAGGGGAGAAGGACCTCCCCTATCAGTGGACTGGGGGAGGGGCATGGGTGGAGAAGAGGGACGTGGGATTGGAAGGGGAAAAGGGGGGAGCTACAGGTGGGATACAAAGTGAATAACTGTAATTAATAAAAATAAAATATATCTTAAAAAAGGTATTTGACATTAAATAGTTCATGTTTCTAAATGGTTCATATTTCTGGAAGACTACTCAATATAATGAATTCATGGCTAAATAAACTAACCCAGCCCACCATTATGTAAGTAGTATGTTATTGAACATGGGTGCCAGAAGAGATCATGTCTTAGGCCATTCTACAGCACAGTGAAATTTTCCAAGGGAAAATAGCTTCTTACATAAAAGTCTGTTAGGAGTTGTTCAACAAAAGGGAGGAGTTTCTGCATTTTATCATTTCCTTACTTTATATTTCTTTAGTATAACTTACATTTGCTTTGTCTTGTTTATACTCATGTACTTTGTAGCTCATTTCTTTAACCTTTAAACCAAATGTCTTCTATAAAATTTCAACCCCCAAATAATGATAATTCCCTTAAATCTGGCCTTAATTTATAGTTTGCCAAATAATTACATTTTGCTAGGCACAGATATCTGTAGCTACCTTAATATATTTGATCCTTAACGTATTTCTATTAAATTTGTGCTTTAGATTTAGTACACACAGAGGGGCAGCTTCAAAATGAAGAAATCGTGGTAAGTGTACATACTTTATAGAGATAAGGTTATCTCTAGTGAGTCAAATTTAGATTATAAAGTCTCCTGGCATGAATTATTCATGATGACTGTCCTCCTGGTATTAGCAGTTCTTTTGTCTATTCAACCATTGGCGATTGTTCTCAATAATATTATAAACTGAATGTATTATTAATTAGGCTCCTTTTTAAAAAACAATCCTGAAGAAAGTGGCTGCATGGATAAAACAGAATTGAATTCACTTATTTGTTTTATTTTGCTCCGTCATTTATTTTTTAAGTATTTGTTTATTTTCTTTCATTTGATTCTGTGGGCCGTTTAGAATAGGACACTAAAAGGGTTGAGATGTCAGAGTTGGAGTTAATTAAGCGTGAAAGGACAAGAGAGGTTTAGATAAGGGGAACTGGAGCATAGGATCAGCAACAAATTAGCAGAGAGCTGAGTGGAGAGAGAACCAGGGTTTTTTCTGACAGCATTCCACAGGGCTCTGCTTGTCAAGTGGAATGAATGCCTGCTGACAGGGAAGCTGCTGCTTCGTCAGGAGTCCTCTGTCTCTGCTGCTTTGTTGTGTCCTAGCTTTAGACAAACAGGAACTAGTAAAATTCTCCAAATTTGTTTAGTGGCCAGTGTTGGTATACAGCAACTCTCCATGGCATTTAGTGGCTTCCTATCTGCCAGGCTTGCAGCTTGGCATCCTGCCAGGAGCTGCTATGCAATCAGCATTTCAAAGACTTCAGGGCTGGGGAGAGTCAGTCCACCTGTAGTGCAAGTGTGGAGACTGGAGCTTGCCCTCCAGCACCACACAAAGATGCAGGACATGGTGGCACCCACACGTAAACCCAGTGCTGGGGAGGCACTGGGGCTCACTGGTACACACACACACACACACACACACACACACACACACGGGAGTGGCAGAAAACTCCATTAGAAGGGTTTGAATCCCACAACTTATTTTTCCCCCACCCAAGTTCGTCCAGTGACTGGGGAGACCAGTGGGATCAAAAAAACAAAAACAAAAAAAGCAGTTATGGTTAGGAAGCTTTTGCATTCTTTGGTATTGTGTTAAGGACTCATGGGGAGGGTTCTAGAAACAACTAGTAAGGCAGACTAGGAGACTGGAAACCACTCACATATTTATTACTGATAGCAGATTGACTCCATTCAATCTTCTAGCTGCTGACCATAGACCTCAACTGGTTACAACAAAAATGTGTAGAAAACTTTATATCATCTGTTGTGGTTGATAGGGAGCTGCTATGTATTCAAGTGATAATTGCTGTCCCTGAGATCTATACTGTTCTATGAGCAAATGCTCACATGTACCAAGTGATGCTGTGTAACCTTGCCTTCTAAATTGTCCCTGATTGGCCAATAAGATTGCCTGTACCTGGGCAATAGAGAGGTAGGTGGAGCTAAGGTTCATGGGATTGGAGGGCAGAAGGATCATGGGAGGGAGAGAGGCGCAGGAGAGGAGGAAGGAAGGAGAAATGAGTAAGTCGCCCTGGGTTAGTGTGAGCAAGAAACATGCGGCTGGGAAGAGCTTTCTCTGAGGATTGGCATGATGGAGAGAAGTAGCCCAAATGGAGCCTTTGGGAATTTTGAATGGGATGTGTGGCTGAGAACTAAACAAGATAGCTTAGAGAGTTAGGATCTGCCCAGCCTCAGTGTTTAAGGCATATTAAAATCTAACAGGTTTCTGTGCCATTTATTTCTGTAACAGCAGGTTAAGTAATAACTGCTGCTTTAATAACCGTGTAACTCAATATTAAAAAGCAACAGTTTTATAATAATCATCTTTTGAAAATTTAATATTATATCCCAAACTTTGTAATTATGTTTTAAGGTGCTGTTTACCTATTTACGTACATTTAAGCTAATTTATTTTTTTCTCTGTCATTACAAGTAATTCATAGTGAACATTAGTACATGCCCTGGACATTATGACATTCACCTTTTGATTACTTTCTAGGATTAAGTTTCATGGAATGGAATTACTAGGCACAAAAGTATAAACATTTTATGGCTTTTTATGTATATTGCCAAATTGCTTTCTGGGGAATTATGTAAATGTAAGAGTATAGTCTTGCTACAGGGTAGTTCGTATATTCCAAGGCATTATTAGTCAACAGAAGCCGCTTAGCATGAACAGTTCTTTAGAAAGATACTTGTAGAACAGTGGGTCAAAATGTACATTTGTAATTTTTAGTCCTCTCAGTGTTTTTCATAAAACCAAGAGTGATAGGTACCATGCTGAATCACTCCGAGACAACTGTGAGACGAAGCAGGCTCGTCTTCTAAACACTCTGGCTTATATTTTGTTGCATGTTAGAAAAATTACTCTTCATCAAAGCCTTTGTTCTGTCAAATGCTTGTTAATAGTTTGCTGGGATTGCTAAAAGAATCCATATTGATTTTTTTTTCTCTTACAGGCACAAGATGGCTATGCCACTTTCTTGAGATTCATTATCGTCTCAGCCTTCGATCATTTTGCATCTGTACATAGCGTTTCTGCGGAGGGCCTAGTAGTCTCAAATCTTTGTTAGTAATTACAACAAAGTGCTCTAAACTACTTTTAAAACATATTTATTGAAACACAAAATTATCTTTAATATTTTTACTATTAAATAGATTTGTATCACTGTTTCTACTTTTATTCATATTTTCTTCGTATTTTGGGCAAAGAAATTCTGGTTTCATGAATCACCAGTGTTGGAGGATATGAGGAAATTTTGACTTCAATATACAGTGTAATCAAGGAAATGACTCCATAGGAAAACTTATCTGTCATTCACTGTGCCTGTATGGTGTCGACCATAGAGCCTGCCAGATCTCAATGCACTAATTCTTTAATTTATTACATGATTTTTGCAAAAGACCAAGTGAGTAGTATAAGCAGTCACAGGGTGAGAGTCAAGGGGAGAAAGTACTTATGAGAAGGTTTGACTACAGCCCTGGAACCGGAGCCACACTCTGTAAAGCAAGCCAGTTTGTGGTTTGGTTGGTTGGTTTGGTTTTTGATTTTGTTTGAGACAGGGTTTCTCTGTGTAGCCTTGCCTGACCTAGAAATTGCTCTACAGACCATGCTAGCCTTGAACTCACAGAAATCTGCCTGCCTCTGCCTCCCTCGTGCTGGGATCAAAGGTGTGCGCTGCTGCTAACCGCTGCCGCCACTAAGCACCGCTGCCGCCACTAAGCACCGCTGCCACCACTATCCATTTGTTGTTTGTTTGTTTTGATTTTGGTGATTTTTTTTTAAATGATTTATTTATAATTTGAAAAGACTTAAGAGAAAGATTAGAAAACATATTCTTTATTTCCCACTGACAGTCATTATTAACATCCGTTTCACATGTCCTGAAATTTTTTTTTATAAAGTGGGGAACATAGTTGGATAGACTGGTGAAGTCAGACTTCTCTTACTGTTGTTTTATTTTGAAAACATAAATAACTAGTGTAGCAAAAATCCTAAATTATAAAGCAGTTGCAGAGTATATCTTCTTCCCTCTGGTTGTACGGCTCCATGTGTCTCCTAAGGATACCAGTCCTATTGAGTTAATGGCCCACCCTACTCAGTATGAGCTCATCCTAACTAGCCATATCTGCCCTGAAGAGCCCAAGTAAGATCACACTCATAGACCCTAGTTATTAGGACTTTAATGTGTCTTTTTGGGGAGGAAGTTCAACTACCCTACGTACTATATTTGTAATGGTTAATTTTATTTATCAACTGATTGGGCCACAGTAAATAGAGGTTTGTCAAACATTCTGGGTGCTTCTGTGAAGTGTTTGTGTTTAATAAATCAAGCATTTAAATTAACAGTTTTTGGATAGATAAAGTAGATTGAACTCCATATAGCACTAGGCCTTAGCTAGTCATTTAGAGGTCTTAACCGAACAAAGACTATTTCCCTGAACAAGAAGGACTCCCGCTGCAGCTTTGGCTCTTTCCTGGCTCCTCCTCTTCCAACCCTTCCCTGGCTTCCTAGCAAGTTTGGACATGGTAACTCCTTTAGACTGAGTGATGTATAAGATAGCGTCTGCTTAGTTCCAAACTAGCCCAAAATGGTCCTGACAGAAACAACAGCTTCACCTAACAAATCCGAGCAGGCTTTTTTGTTTGTTTGTTCCTGACTGGCTGATTTCTCTGGTCAGTTGGCAGCTTAGTGTAGGTAACAAAGGATTGTTGCATCTAAGTGGCCTCAAGCAGGGATGGTGCTCAGCCCCAGGAAGAGCCTCTAGTGGTCTGCCCTGAGCCTCCTCAGTAGCAAGACAGGGAGAGAAAAAGCCCAAGTGCAAGCATGTTTACAGTCTGCCCTGATTTCCAAGTCATGCCACACAGCAAAGGCCAGTGCAAAATAAAATTCTACCCAAGGGCAAGAGTATAAGAGGTGTGGGTACCCAAGGGCATGTGTGTAACAAGGTAGAGGAGTGGGGGCTGTTAATGCTACAGTCCATTATACCCATCCTGAGTTTCTTCTGGTGTGATACTGTGAGAAGCAGGCTGTGAGACATTCTGGGCTCACTGAGCTTGAATCTAGTCGAGCTCAAGAATTAACTTCCCTTTTCAGGAAATTCACAGGGTAGGTGAACAAAGAAAGGGACGCCAAGGGAGGAAAAAGACAAATGGCCATTAGTGCAGCTAACTGAAATGTCCCTATCTGTGACTTCCCTGCTGGTGGGTCTGGTAGGCTTCCTGGCTTTTGTAGTGCCATGCGATGAAGAGATGGCCAATGAGATGAAGAGTAATATACTTAAAGGCTAAACATTAAATTGCCTTGGTGAGGCCCTTTAAGGTTCTTCTCTGCTGCTCAGATAGCCAGCAATGTTTAGCAAATTCAGTCTGGGTCTGGGAGTGAGGCCGATGGTTTATAGTGTTTTGTTTTGGTTTTTGGTTTTTGGTTTTTGGTTTTTCTACACAGAGTTTCTCTGTTTTAGCCCTGGCTGTCCTGGAACTCACTCTGTAGACCAGCTTGGCCTTGAACTCACAGAGATCTGCCTTTCTCTGCCTCCCGAGTGCTGGGATCAAAAGTGTGTGTTACCACTGCCCAGCTTTTATAGATAGTCTTAATCTGAGTTGGCCTCATAGGAATGAGACAGCTTCACTGTGCTGTGCTTGGAAGCTTGTGGAGCTGCCTGTCCTTACAGTCTGACCTTGCAGGTCCCAAACTTACACAAGTGACCTGGCAGTGCCATGGAAAATGTTAAGGGTCTCCGCTTTAGAGACATAGAGTTCCTACAACCATGTGTCATGTGTGGGTCTCACCTGGAGGCAATCTGAACAAAACAACTGAGAAAATATATTTGAAAGATAATTTGGGACATTTGCCTGCAGGCTCGGTATTGTTCTTCTTCCTACAGATACAAGACGCAGCTTATGTTTAAAAAGCCTGTTGAACCAGGCCTAACGCCAGCATTAAGGAGGAAGAGGCAGGTGGATCTCTGTGAGTTCAAGGCCAGCCTGGTCTACAGAGTGAGTTCCAGGACAGCCAGGGCTATGTAGAGAGAACCTTTCTCAAAAAATAAAAAACTGCCCAGGTTTTTAAGATATACATGGAAGTGTAAAAGGGTAAAAATAAAGTAATAGCTAGGGTTTGATTTTAAACATGTAAGCAGGAATGCTTTCTATTTTGTAGCTTGAGCATGCCAGGTAAATGCTTTACTACTGAGCCACAGCCCAGCCCAGTTAGAGCCCTTAAATAGTGTTTTTGAGGTGAAATGAAGCAAATGTGTCTATGACATTGAACATGGAGATATATGAGGATTCAATAGGCTGGCCTACTTTTATGTATTCTTTCAATTGTTCAGGATGAAAGAGTAAAAACAGTGTACCAGAAACTTTGTCTATAGAAGATTGAACATACACTTATTGAAGGAAAACCCCTGAGAGTAGGGTGAGTTTCAAGGGAGGAGCGCCTCAGAAAACTCTTGTGCTTCTGTTTAGAGTGCTCTTCAGATAGCTTCCTCAGATGAGAGGCCTGGAAGGACAGAAATCAAAGCTGACGTCCTGGTTGGTTGTTTTATTTGTTTGCAGGGATGAGGAATAATGGCCAGGGCTTCACACTGTTAGCCAGTTGCTCTTTCACGGACCTACATTTTCAGCCCAGGGTTTTTAAGGCTCTTAAGATTTCTGATAAATTGCTTACAACAATCTGTGACACAGGTTTACTCCTGTGTAAAGTAAAGTTTCCAGGGGGTGAGCAAAAGAAGTGAGAAAGGCATTTGAGGAGCAATGCTGTCTTCAGAGTTGGGAAGGTGAATAATCACTCATAAATCACATCTGGGGAAGGATGAATCGAAAAGTGTGATGAAGCAAAGAGCCAGCTAATCATAGTGCCTGTACAACTCTCAAGGATTTTCCTGTAACATGGAGCCATTAACATTTTTTGAGTATGTGACCTAGAGCAATTGCTTTCATTTTCAAGAGCATCAAATGCTGAGGATTTTCTTTTTGCCAAGTTCCTAAAGTGAAATGTCAATGATTCTTTGCACAAGAAACTCCGTGTTAAGGCTTACAGAAGGCTCGGAGGGGTCTCCAGAGTTTATCTGATATATCTCTGGCACATGCCCAGTAGCAGTTTCTGTGGGTTCAGAGAACAAGTGGTCAGCACTGGTCCTTGTAATACTGCTTCAGCTAGGACTGGAAGGTGATGGGGGAGGGGGGGAGAAAGAACTGTGGTAGAATGTGTGCCTAGCAGCTCAAGGCCCTGGGTTGCATTCCCAGAAACCAAAGCAAACAACAAACAAAGATAGACATGCTACTTGAAAGCCGCATGTTCTGGCCTGTTTTCCTAGACCTTCGAACAGTCGCTCTTACTGGTTGGCAGTAGGGGTTTACTTGAGCAGCATCTTATCCCATTTCCATTCCAGGTTGCTGCTGCAGGCTGACATTGTTACCTTTGCTTGCTGAGCCCCATTCTTAGGAGTTTCTTTTGTTCTGCCCACAGACCTCCACTTGCTAAATGTAAGTGAGGTCCTGTTCCCGCTGCCCAGAGCCCCCTTTCTTCAGCTACCTTCATTTCCTTTAGATATACAGATCCTCAGAAAATGTTGACTGAATGGGCCCATTGGTTTCCTTGTCTTTATACTGAAATCCTTGACGAGGTGTTTTGTTTTGTGGCTGCATGTATTTCAGGCTGGCCTCTAACTGCCAAGAATGACCTTAAACTTTTGATCCTCCTTCCCTACAGTACCTCCAGAGTGTTAGGCTTATTGGAATGAGCCACCACGCCCAGCTTGTGGAAATCTGGGTATTAAAGCCAGACATCACCAATTGAACTCCAACCCCAGACCCAGCTTTTAATACAGCTGGCTAACAATGTATACATTCTTTTTTTCAATTCAGCCTGGTGGTTGCCTCTACCCTCACAAAATAAGGTAGTAAAAGGTAGGGATTGTTGGAGTTCTGAGCGCCTTGGGCAGTGAGAAAAGGTATAGAAACTAGAGCAATCATTGGATGTGACAGAGGTTGACAATGAAGAAGCAGAGCAGGAATGGAGGACAAACAAGGGGAAAGAAAAAGTGCAGGAAGCCTGAGTCTCCCACTCCTGCTAAGGGGCTAGAGAGACCAGAGACCACGCCAA